GTTTCGGTTAATGTCTGAGGTTGCTGGGGGGATGGTGACGTCATAATGAGCTGAAGACATAATGCTTAATATCTCAAAAACTATAACAGCACAAACGCTAATTTGAACTGCACAAACATGCACAAACGAAGCACTAATAATGTAGACTACTTTGGTTAATTTTTGAGCTTGCTGGGGGGGATTATAACGTCTTAATGACCTGAAGACATAATGCTTAATATCTCAAAAACTATAACAGCACAAACGCTGATTTTAACTGCACAAACCTGCACAAACGAAGCACTAACCAATCCGCTTACTAGTTTTTATTTTTTGTGTGGGTGGGGTGTCAGCTTCACACAGCTCTCAACCACTGGATGTCGTTGAAAACAACAAATCCTACRCACTGTGCCTTTAAATAGACAAAAATGAATGCATCATTTAGTCAGTTTTACAGATATCCATGTGAAATTTGGTGTGATAATAACTGACAGTGATCCCCAACACATTTGCATTTTTAACAGATTTCACCATAAACTATTAGAGTCAAGTCTGTATGTTAACAAAATATCTCATGAGCTACGCAAATGGCTACAATTCAAACAATTTTACAGATATTGTGCTAACATTTAGTGTAACACTCACTCATTCTTTTACCTTTTAACACACACTCTAAAAGTTACCCACTAAATAGTAACTTTTCCTAAAATTTAGGCATTAACTTTTGGAGCATCCTAGTTAGTTAGCAAAACATCTCATGAACCACCTGTTGTATTTGAACAAAACTCTCAGAAAGTAATTGTTTGATGTATACATCTATAACAGATTAACAATTCAAGCCAATCCAATTCAATATGGCTGCCAATTATCAATATTAGCCAACATAAAAATGGTTATAATGCAGCTTTACGTATGATTTAAAATTTAATGTTAGAAGCTAAAAAGCCATTCACAAAACATACAGTGAGCCTGACATCTTGGCGCATAAAGTTTTTTTTCCAGTCTTGACTAAAATGACTACAACTCATATGATCTATAAGACAATCCTATTAAACAACTCTGGCATTAGTTTCAGTGGCAATATTAATTTCTTTATGGAATGTTAGGCCTTTGTTTTGTTTCTGCATAAAACATTTCTAAATACGTTTTTAAGCAAAAAAAAATACACTCTGTAGTAATTTACAATGCATACAGTTTGTAAGAATAAACTTTGCAAATCTTTTCTCCAGTTGTGGATCTCAACATGATAGTTTGGTAATTCAGATAAATACATGGTATAAAAATGAACTCGTGGCTTGTTTGCCCTGCAGATCAAACCCTTGGCACTCTGTCCGGTCAAAGTCAGCATAGACGACACGTTGCAGGAACTCGGTCGACCGCACAGGAGCAACTCTAAGGAGCGTCTCAGTGAGGTGAGTCACTGGWTAAGTCTTTTCCCCTTCACAAAGACCTCCTACAGAGAGCCAGGGTTTCAGTTTTCACAGATTCAGACAAGGAGCCCCTGAGGTGGATTTCACAGGGTGGACAGATGAGGCTGAGGCTGAGATCAGAGGACAGCTGCTGTGGGGTATCTCCTGCTGCTCTTTRACTTTGCCTCATAAAGATCCTCTGCATTGAGAATAAGAGTCRTTGGTGAAGAGTGTGCAGACAGGAAATGATTGGAATAATTGCCCAATATCAACTAGTTGGCCTGGCAATAGCATGTAGACCTAACTCCGTTCAGCCAGGTGTTGGCTGACCTTGCCAACCTCAGAACGGAGCAAGTTACAGAAATTGTTCCAATTATCTCTTCTCCAGCATCCATATGCCAGCCCATTTAGTTAGATGAGTAGGTGGCAAATCAAAATGGAAGCCAGGCGTTGCTTCAGCATAAAGGATAAAATAATGCAATTTAGAAACAGGGAAAGTAATGAGAATTTATGCAAAATCCCAGGCGTCTCATTTTAAATGRATGTAAAAATATGCCTTGTAACTAATGCCTGTCAGACAGGCCTCCTGAATCTAACTAAATTCAATCTGATTGTTCATTTAGCTAACAAAAGCACGAGGAAAGTGAGAGGGAATAAAGAAGAAAATATGCAGATTTCTTATCCAGCAGAGGTAAAACTATGGAAAGAAAATACATTTTAACAATAAAAAAAACTTGTTTCATTTACATCTTCTAGCTAAACAGCTCATCTCCTTTTTACCCTGTGCCCCCTCTTTTGGTTGTACTACTTCGCTCAAATTTGTATAAAAGGCTGTCTTTGAATGAAAAAGTCAGAAGGAAGAGGCAGGCTTGTCAGATAAAAGACCAACGCTTGTTGACAGCTCTGACAGGGATATACGACAAGCACTAAGAAGGAGGGGGAGTTAATAAAAGGGATGGTGGAAGCATTGGTGGTTGCGGTGATGGTAGTGTATGTGTG